CCAAATTCGAATCCAAGTAAGGGTATGGCTAACTGATGAGAGCTAAATAGCTTGAAATAGATCTATACTAGTCTCCCTTTATTTCTTTATCAGCAAAATATAAATTTGGTATAAAATAGTTTGTCGTGAATGTGACTGCTTGGGGGCTCCTGGATTGGAGCTGAAGGGCAAAAGGGAGCAAGAATGCCCCCTCCCACATGTTGGGGTAGACCAGGTGTCTTGATAGAAAAATACTTAATCTTTCCCCTGGCTCAAGCTGATGAAGAGAGGAGAACTTGTGGCTCAGAGGTTAATTCAAGTGCCTAACATGCAGGAAGCCTATACTAGTCTATTCTAGTCTCCTTTTATTTCTTTATCAGCAAAATATAAATATATATACACATACATACACAGAGACATACATACATACATATATATATATATATATACGTACATATATATGTAGGTCTTTGGTTATTCGGGTTTTCTCCCACGTAAAATTGGAAGTGTCTTGGCGACGTTTCGACGAAGTCTCATTCGTCATCTTCAGGCTGGTGTTTTCGGCTTCGTGCTTCTATATATACATATATATATGTTTACACACACACACACACACACACACACACACACACACACACATATATCAGGGGGGAAATTCACTTATTTTCCCTACCAGTTCACAAAAGTACTGGCGGGAAAAGCTACTGCCGTCGTCGCCATGTTCTTCACGCATGCGCATCCCATTGGACTTAGAAGGCAATGGGATGCGCGTGCACGAAGAACATGGCGATGAACATGGCGGCCAGGAGACTGGTATGGGGGCGTGGCCAGCCAGCAGATAGCAGGATGTTTCTCTTTCAGGACACAAAGAGAAAATATCTGCTGTGAACTCCATTTAGGTGTCAGAAAGGGCATCCGGCCAGTAAACGCTCTATCCAGTCACCCTGTCCTACCCAAAGGATTACATGATTGTAAAAAGAGAGTTTTTCCAGTAGATTTTATTATCTTTGTGAACCCTATAACAGATTATTTAACTGCCTGTGTAGATCTCAGAATTCATACAAGATCCATCTCCTTGTAGTTTACCACAGGCAGAATTTTCGTTCCATCTCTTACGACACCCAACATCTGTTCCCTATTGGAGTGAAAAGGCAAAAAAAAAAAAAACCTTGAAAAGAAGATTTAATAGAAAAGGAAGACGAATGCTTTCATAATTAAAAAAAGGACATATAGCAGGAGCACTTAGTTTTAAAAGAAAGGACAACGTGTAGAATATGCCTTGTAAATCGTACTACCTGTAGAACCTTCAATCTGTTAATCAAATTTTATGAAATTACTAAATTCAGTAGTACTAAACCGAAATATAATGTTCATTTTCAGACTGTGTGGTAAACCACAAGTTTCTATTCTTCCTTCTTTCTCTAAAATATAACAATTGTAGAATGAGAACTCGTTCAGCACGGCACGAAAATAATTTCCTAATGCTTCAAATGCCTCAGAAATGGTGGTGAAGTTTTTAGTTTTTACTGCAATGAAGTCAGCAAAGGAAAAAGTCAGAACTGCAACTGTTTTATTTTGTAACACCTGTAACACCAGGCTGTGTTTTAAAAGAAAGGACAGTTTTTACTGCAATGAAGTCAGCAAAGGAAAAAGTCAACACTGCAACTGTTTTATTTTGTAACACCTGTAACACCAGGCTGTGTACCGATTAGAATAAATTATTATCCAGCAAAACCTTGAATTATTATCTAGAACAATCCTTGAGCAGGTCCTGAGAGAGATGTGGGTTCCTGGAAGTATACAGTTTACAAAAATGTTGTGTACATTCTTCTATTTTATATATATATATTTTCTACTCCTGTTTGAACATAGAGCACGAAATATTTTTTTTTATTAATGACTAAAATATGGATTTTGGCACATTAATCAGCTATCTATTTTACAAGGTAGCTAGATGGATGGGTGAGTGGGTGGATAGGTACTGTGTTCCCCAGAAAATAAGACCCTATCTTATATTTTTTTGAACCCTGAAATAAGCGCTTGGCCTTATTTTCGGGGAGGTCTTATTATTTTGGGGCGCGTGGAGCAAGACGGGGCTCCTCTTGCCATCTTATCTGATTTCCAGCTCTGTCTCCCTAACCCTAACCAGAGGAAATGGCGGGGACCAGCTGCACATGTGTTTAAATATTTTTGGGGAGGGTACCACTTTATAATGCCTTGGTAAGGCCACACTTGGAATACGGCATCCAGTTTTGGTCGCCACGATGTAAAAAAGATGTGGAGACTCTAGAAAGAGTGCAGAGAAGAACAACAAAGATGATTAGGGGGCTGGAGGCTAAATCATATGAAGAACGGTTGCAGGAACTGGATATGTCTAGTTTGATGAAGAGAAGGACTAGGGGAGACATGACAGCAGTCTTCCAGTATCTCAGGGGTTCCCACAAAGAAGAGGGAGTCAAATTATTCTTCAAAGCACCTGAGGATAGAACAAGAAGCAATGGGTGGAAACTCATCAAGGCGAGAAGCAACTTAGAACTAAGGAGAAATTTCCTGACAGTTAGAACAATTAATAAGTGGAACAACTTGCCTCCAGAAGTTGTGAATGCCCCAACACTGGAGATTTTTAAGAAGATGTTGGATAACATCTGTTCAGATTTGTCTGAAGTGGTGTAGGGTTTCCTGCCTGGGCAGGGAGTTGGACTAGAAGACCTCCAAGGTCCCTTCCAACTCTGTTATTCTATTCTATATACAGAGATAGATATAGACAGAGATAGACAGAGATAGATTAGATAGATAGATATAGACATAGAGATAGATATAGACAGAGATAGCTATCTATCTATAGAGACAGAGAGAGAGAGATAGATAGATAGATAGATAGATAGATAGATAGATAGATAGATAGACACGATGGATGGATGGATAGGTAGAGAGAGAGAGAGAGAGACAGACAGACAGACAGAGGGACAGATAGAGAGGATGGATGGAGGGATGGATGGATGGATGGATGGATACAGTAGATGGAGGGAGGGAGGGATGGAGAGAGAGAGAGGGAGAGACGATAGACCGATCCTATTGCACAGTAAAACATAGCAAATTGTTTATATTATGAGGACTATCTCAGAAGGAACAAAGCTTAGATGTTTACCTCATTTATCCCGGAATTACTAAAAAGTACTATATTTGGGTGTACTGCCCTATCTCTACTTATTTGTAAAGCAGTTCAGTTGAATTCGATCGATGGCTTACGTTCCATCAAGTTGCTTTCGACTCCTCTAACAAATCACATTATAGATAATTTTTTTTTTCTCAAGAAACAAACACTGGGCCTTTTAAGATGCCTAACCCCCGTCGCTCCTTGGAATGCAGTCTCTTGAATTTAGCAACCTTCTAAAGTCAAGCATTAGGACTTTGTGATAATAATAGGACTTCTGTAATTGTGGCACGGTTCCTTTTTTGCAAACGTAGGAGGAGGTCTGTTGAGAAATGCTATTCTCAACTTTCGAGTTTAGCCGAAGAGATTTTCCCTCTCTAGCACCGTTAACTCCGAAACCCAGTAACATCAGCTGAGTGCTGCCACCTATTGGAGCAGTGCAGAAAAGGCAGAAAAGGAATTGTATAATGATTTGCAACACACTTACCTAAAAAAAAAAAAAAAAAACCGGCCATGCTGTTAAAACAGATAATAATAATAATAATAATAATAATAATAATAGCAATAATAATAATAATAGCAATAATAATAATAATAATAATAATAATAATAATAGCAATAATAATAATTGCAATAATAATTGCAATTTGCGGGACTTGCAAATTGAAGTTGAGCGACTGTGGAAAAAGAAATCGTGTGTTGTCCCGATTGTAATTGGAGCCCTCGGAGCAATACCCAAAGGGCTACCCCGCTATTTAGAAATTCTAAATTTGCCGGACTTGAACATTTTGACTCTACAAAAAACCACCTTACTCGGAACAGCTTACATCCTCCGACGATACCTTAACAGTGCCTAGGTCCTTGGTTAGGACTCGAGCTGCTGAGCTATTAACCAGCCTCAAAGGCTGTGAATCTCACTAAAGATTAATCAATAATAATAATAATAATAATAAAAAAATTATTATTATTATTATTATTATTATTATTATTATTATTATTTTATTGTCATTGTACGTGTGTACACAATATACCCATACAACGAAATTCACTTAACACCCAAAGACCAGGTCCAACACACATAACAATCCCCAAACACACTCCCACCTACCACAAATTCCCCACCCCTAAACCACCCAAACATCCACACAACAGACCAAGTAATACTTTCCAACAGCTCACTGATGGTGGCCCTTTAGTTCATTGTTGAGTGCAATTATAGCTCTGGGATAAAAACTATTCAGAAAAACGTGTGGTCCGAGTTTTAATTGTTCCGTATCTTCTGCCAGAAGGCAACAGTCCAAAAAGATTGTAAGCAGAATGGGAAGAGTCTCTGGGAATGTTACGCAACTTCCTCAAACAGCGAGATTCGATGATGTCGTCCATGGCTGGTAGCTGGACTCCGATGATATTCTGGGCAGTTTTAATGATTCTCTGTAGAGCATTTTTTTTGTCCGCTACAGAGCTGCTCCCATACCATGCAAGAATGCCGTATGTCAGGACACTCTCAATGGTGCTGCGATAATAGGACAGAAGTAGATGCTGAGATAGATTTATCTATTTACAGTTGCTTAAATCACATTTATGTAATTGTACATCACTGTACAATAAATCACTGTAATACGGGCAGTGCTTTTATTTGTAATTGCTAAACTTTTTTAAATTTTTAAAAGGCAAATTTAAATTAATCAGATGTATTTAAGGTGGTTTATCTCTTTGATTTGCAGCTCCCCCCCTTTTTTTCCATCTAATATGTATGTATATGCACAGGTGTGCTGTTTTGGATGTCGTGCCAAATTTGCATTCTGCAATGATTCGATATTTTTGCCGTGCCATGTTTTAATTAAATCCTTGTTCTTTTCCTTTATAGATTGGGGCTTATGATCAACAAATATGGGAAAAATCTGTTGAACAAAGAGAAATCAAGGTAAATTTTCAGACTTCAATCCTTTTTTTTTATAGCAATACCTTAATAAATTTGTTTTACGTTGGTTAAGAAAAGCAGAGTTTTAAAGCAAAAACTTCTAATCTTTACAATGATTTAGTATTATTAGCCCTGCTTAACTGTTCCCTAATATACTTATGTACAACCAATAATACGTTTGATATTGTCAATTCAGTTTTAGATATTTGCATACCGATTTTTTTGTTCTGGTTAATGATCACAATAAACTTTTTCGAGTAACATATCTAGAACTCCCTTTTCAAATAATGCATTTTATGGGATTATTTGCAGGCGAATAAGTTTTGAGCAGCTTTCTTTATTAACTTATTGAGGAAGTCCTATAAAATTCTGAACGTGACCTGCAGAAAATTATTTTGAAAAAAACCTTCTCTCTCCCACATTGTCTTAAGAAAGCGGCAGGATTTAACACGCTAATTCTTTAACAGAGCTGCAATATTTTTAGTAGTTTTAAATCAAGTTAGAATAATTCATCAGTGGAACAACTTGCCTCCAGAAATTGTAAATGCTCCAACACTGGAAGTTTTTAAGAAGATGTTGGGTAACCATTTGTCTGAAGTGGTGTAGGGTTTCCTGCCTAAACGGGGTTGGACTAGAAGACCTCCAAGGTCCCTTCCAACTCTGTTATTCTATTCTATTCTATTCTATTCTATTCTATTCTATTCTATTCTATTCTATTCTATTCTATTCTATTCTATTCTATTCTATTCTACTCTACTCTACTCTACCCTACCCTACCCTACCCTACCCTACCCTACCCTACCCTACCCTATCCTATCAGGTTTTTCTCCTATTAAAATGAAAGATTAGCACAAGAATCAGGAAGGGGAGGGGGAAGTTATAGGATTGGGACAATTATATCTTTTTTATGTCCATCTGGCTATAAAATGGGTATAAACCACACCACAATTTGCTGCTGTGGGTATCCTCTATAGAAGCTCCTAAAATCGGAGTTTTAACATTTCTCTCTCTTTGAGAAATCTAAACACCGACACAAAAAAAATAAAAAAATCCTACTGTGTTTAGTTAATGTTGCATTAAAACTGCTTGTCATTTCACCCTGCGCTCTCTTGTGACATTTTGTCAGTGTTAGTTTATTGTCTTCTGGTTGTGTTTATATAGTTCCAGTTCACTTTTCATCCTGTTATTCTTTTGAACAGTTTATTAAATTGGTAAGTACGCCACGATGGCTGAAATGTGTATTAAGCAAGCGGCTTTTGTAGATTTAACGGTTTTTGCATCTAAGCCTCACTAACAAAATCCGTTTAGTATCCTGTGAGCCAAAAGCGAAACGTTTGAATATTTAAGGATCCCTTCCTTCCTTACCGTTATCTTTTACTTAGACCAGGGGTCTGCAACCTTAAATACTCAAAGAGCCATGTAGACCCGTTTCCCACAGAAAAGAAAACACCGGGAGCCACAAAACCTGGGTGGGCGTGGCCAACTCAATGTCACTCACTTCTACCAGTCACATGACCCCCTAGCCACGCCTATCCAGGCGGTCAATAGGGCAGAGAACCGGTTGTTAAAAAACACCGGGAACCACAAAATCTTTTGACATCTCTCTCTCCCCCCTCCCTCTCCCCCCTCTCTCCCTCTCTCTCTGTATCTCTCTATTTCTGCCCTGGCCGCTTCTCCATCCCCCGCCGTTGCCCTTACCTTCTCAGGCCAGGCGAGGAGTGACTGGGAGGGGAGGGCGAGAGGTGGGGCCAGCCAGTGGTGGGATCACCTGACAGGGAGCCACAGCAGATGGGCCAAAGAGCCGCATGCGGCTCTGGAGCCGCAGGTTGCTGACCCCTGACTTAGACCATTCCTCTTATTTTTCAGTAGCAAGATCTTCATTGTGACAGCCATATCCAGAATCTTTTGCTGTTTCCTTCATCTCTTTTAGTGCCTTGCTCCTCCAAAGACCCCTGTTAGCCTTCAGAAAATGTTCTCCTTTCCTCTGTATTTGTTCTCCTGGTTGAACAAATTTCTGATTATAGTCATTAAAAAAAAACAACAACAACCCAATTCTGCTTTGAAACTAAATTATTACAGCTTTAATAACTTCGCCTCTATGAAATCTGCCCATTGTTAAAATCACCATAGATGTTGTTTGGAGGCATCTCAAGAACTTTGGCCTCATTTTTTCTTTGGATTCAGAAGGTAAGATCAGGAAGGAGAACATACGATTTACCTCTTTTCCTTCTTAAATTTTGCCAGTTTTATCAGTTGTTTCAGTCCACGAATCAGCCCAGCCGTGCCATTCAGGGGGTGAAATCCAGCAGGTTCTGACAGGTTCTGGAGAACCGGTAGCGGAAATTTTGAGCAGTTCAGAGAACCGGCAAATACCACCTCTGGCTGGCCCCAGAGTGGGGTGGGAATGGATATTTTGCAATAACCTTCCCCCAGGAGTGGGGAGGGAATGCAGATTTTGCAGTATCCTTCCCCTGGAGTGGGGAGGGAATGGAGAGTTTGCAGTATCCTTTCCCTGGAGTAGGGAGGGAATGGAGAGTTTGCAGTATCCTTCCCCTGGAGTAGGGAGGGAATGCAGATTTTGCAGTATCCTTTCCCTGGAGTGGGGAGGGAATGCAGATTTTGCAGTATCCTTCCCCTGGAGTGGGGAGGGAATGCAGATTTTGCAGTATCCTTCCCCTGGAGTAGGGAGGGAATGCAGATTTTGCAGTATCCTTTCCCTGGAGGGGAGGGAATGCAGATTTTGCAGTTATCCTTTCCCTGGAGTGGGGAGGGAATGCAGATTTTGCAATAACCTCCCCCCAGGAGTGGGGAGGGAATGCAGATTTTGCAGTATCCTTTCCCTGGAGTGGGGAGGGAATGCAGATTTTGCAGTATCCTTCCCCTGGAGTAGGGAGGGAATGCAGATTTTGCAGTATCCTTTCCCTGGAGTGGGGAGGGAATGCAGATTTTGTAGTATCCTTCCCCTGGAGTAGGGAGGGAATGCAGATTTTGCAGTATCCTTTCCCTGGAGTGGGGAGGGAATGCAGATTTTGCAATAACCTTCCCCCAGGAGTGGGGAGGGAATGCAGATTTTGCAGTATCCTTTCCCTGGAGTGGGGAGGGAATGCAGATTTTGCAGTATCCTTTCCCTGGAGTGGGGAGGGAATGCAGATTTTGTAGTATCCTTCCCCTGGAGTAGGGAGGGAATGGAGAGTTTGCAGTATCCTTCCCCTGGAGTGGGGTGGGAATAGAGATTTTGCAGTATCCTTCCCCTGGAGTGGGGAAGAAATGGAGATTTTGCAGTATCTGCCACACCCACCAAGCCACACCACGCCCACATAACCGGTAGTAAAAAAAAAATTGGATTTCACCACTGGTGCCTTTTCAAAAGTCCGTCCTTTCGTAGCTTCTTTGAAAAAAAATAAATAAATCCTGCCTTTCCCACATCAGGATCTACGCCGACTACCTAATCCAGCTTTTCTGTTTTGAAAATGTGAACGTTTGCTTCTTTTGTTGGTGTGTTGGTGTGAAATAAGCCGCTGTAGACTTCTCAGCTCCAAAGGGAGCCCGAGAGAAAACTACTCCGCTGCTTGGGAATGTGAGTGTGTGTTGCGTTCCTCCCCTGTTGTTTACCAGTTTGCGAGCTAATCATTTCGCCCATCGAAATTAGCAAATACGGTTGTGTTCCCGAATCAACAACGGCCTGTAGCTGTGAAGCCCAGCTCTGTGAAAGGATCCCTTGTTTCAACATTTGGCCAACATCAAATTTCACATTCTCATTTTTTTTTTAAAAATGGAATCGAGGGAAATGCAACAATTTTGAGTCCAGCCTTAGAAATTTAGAGCCCTGTAGAAAGTCTGCAAAGTATGGTTGGGGGTGGGGGTAGGGAGTCAAATTGGCAACCTACCACAGTGTGATTGAATCCCCAGCTGTTTCTTTGTCTGCATGTGCTACGTGAGTGCCACGAAGACGCTTACCTCTTACTTGAAAGGTTGAGAGTTCAATCCTAGGTAGCGGCGGATATTTCTCTCCTAGGGCGGAAAGAGAAAATATCTGCTGTGAACTCCACATAGGTGTCAGGAAGGGCATCCAGCTAGTAAATGCTCAGTTCCGTCCATCAGTTGCCCCAACTCTACCCCAAATTTAGGGATCACAGGGCCGTAAAAAGAAAGTTTTGGTGTATCTAAAAAAAACGGGTGGAGCGTTGTTCGCACCATCGTGGCTGCCATCTTGAATTTTTTGACCATACCCTGTGGATACTCCCTGATTGCTATTTTTTAATAAAAAAAACAAAACGGTTTAGAGTACTGATTTGAGTGGGATGAGAAGGCTTTTTGGAAGCTTAATGGCTTGTTTTCGAAGACACTGAGACAAAGGGCCTCCTTTACAGGGTTGGAAATATTTTTTGTAACCTGTGGCCTGCCCCTCATTGGTTACTCCTGGCAAGCAGCTCCTTACTACATGCATTTGCCTGCTCTTCTTTGGTTGTTTGTGGCTTACCTGCATGTTGTCAGGCAGAGGTGGGTTTCAGCAGGTTCTGACCAGTTCTGGAGAACTGGTAGCGGAAATTTTGAGTAGTTCGGAGAACCGGTAAATACCACCTCTACTGGCTCCGCCCCCATCTATTCTCTGCCTCCCAAGTCCCAGCTGATCGGGAGGAAATGGGGATTTTGGAGTAACCTTCCCCTGGAGTGGGGAGGGAATGGAGATTTTACAGTATCCTTCCCCTGCCATGCCCACCAAGCCATGCCACGCCCACCATGCCACGCCCACAGAACCAGTAGTAAAAAAATTTGAACCCCACCACTGCTGTCAGGGGCAAGAAATCAGGAGCTAGGATAGAGCTCGAAAGCACTATAAATTAACTGCGGCTAGAATTGTATTTGCACAAACCTGAGAAGAATGTGATTAGGAAAATATTAGAATGTGCAGAAATGAATAGATTAATGTTGGCTGTACAGGAGAAAGAACAAACTGAATACTATATGATATGGGAGCTATTTTATGGATGGTTGGGGAACAAAAACAGAGGCTAGAAATAAATGGAGATTAGAAAATACGTTAAGACAAAGATGTAAATAATATGATTATTTTTACTAATTTTGTTGTATGGGTATACTTTGGAACAAAATACCCCCTGGAATACGAATAATCCCAGATCTTCGCACTTTCCGACGTGCCCTGAAGACCCTTCTGTTTCAACAAGCAGGGCTAGCATAAACATCTAAATTCTATGCCAAGGTCTTAGCAGATACACCAAGTTGACTCAATTTATTATTTACTGTTTATTAAAAAAAAAAATTATATGTATATGAAATCTTAATCTGTTCACCGCTGATTCCTTTTCAGTGGGGGTGTGAACCAGTTCACACCCCCACTGGCAGTTAAAAGGAAGAAACAGCTGCAATCACACACATTGCTCCTAGAAGCACGAAGCCGAAAACACCAGCCTGAAGATGACGAATGAGACTTTGTCGAAACGTTGCCAAGACACCTCCAATTTTACGCGGGAGAAAACCCGAATAACCAAAGACACACACACACACACACACACACACACACACACACACACACACACAGTGTATGGCTCTGGAATTTATTTCCATTGCAGTTGATAATCTATTTCAGTTTTCTCTTTGCTGATTAGCAAACATCATTTAAGATCTTTCTCTCTTGTGTAAGTTTTAACTCCAAAATAAAATGGGGGAAAAAATTTAAAAAAAAATTATATTGTACCAGAACATGCATGCATATGGATTCTGCATTTAAATAATCAAGAAGGCAATACCCCAAACATGAAAGCTGCAGCATTTTGTGGCAACCAGTCCATAAGTTAAATTATTTAGTGCGTTGCTTGTGCTGAATATTCTATTAATCTGTTTAAACTTTAGTTAACCCAAGAAGGATGAATGTCACCCTCTAAAAATAGATATAGCTAACCACGATTCCTCATGTTTTCCAAAATGAAAAAAAAGAAAAGAAAAAGCCTTAAATAAAACAGAGCCAGGAAATGAAAATGTTAAGCAATTTTGTTTAGCCTCTCTTTTGCAGTGCATTTTTGACGTGAAAAAAATCAGTACAATTCTCCATTGGCAATTGGAAGTCTTAGATAATAATGGAGATACGACCACAATTGAGATGGACTTACAGTATTTTGCACCTTTGTGGATTCTGCTGTTTAATAGTGAATATAGGAAATTATTTCAATTATTGGGAGAGATGCGGTGGCCTAGAGATGGAGCTCTCGCCTCACCATTAGGAGGCTGTGAGTTCGATCCTAGGTAGAGGCAGATATTTCTCTCTCTGGGCACAATGAGAATATATCTGCTGAAACAAAACTCCGCATTGGTGACAAGAAGGGCATCCGGCTAGTAAATACTCTGCTAGCTCCATTCAGTTGCCCAGACTCCACCCACAAGGGATTATAGGGTTGTTAAACAATGATGATAGTAAATTATTTCAATCTGCTTTTAATAGTTAGTAAGATAGTCCCGAACTGAAAAGAGGTTACAGAAAAGAGAAAGCCAAAAGAATGTGTGACTTTTCCAATGATATCCTTTTAAACCTAATTGAAAGCGTGTATTATTTTAGTAACCAGATCCTTGCGTCCATAATGACCAACATAATGAGAATACATTAATGGAACACATTTGTGAGAGCTAAGAGGAGGGAATACAATAATGAAGTTTTCCATTTGCCATGCAATAAGAGAATTTTTTATTAGCTAGAACTGAGGGCAATAGGTGAAGACTTGAGGTTTAGTAAGTAATGCAACAAGACATTTAAAAATAACCTGCTTTGTTTGAGGTAAGACATACGAAGATCGATATTGATATTAAGATGCGCCAAATAATTGATATGCTGGCAGGAGGTAGCAGGAGAGAACAGGAAGTCAATTATTCTAGATAGATGGTGAAAAAAAAATGTTATTTCCAAAGGTGGACTGTCACGATTTTTGTGAATTCATTGCTTAGGTTAAAAGTTCTCTGAAATACAAGAACTCCAGTGCGGAGTAATTCGTAGTGTGAAAAATGGGAATGCTTGATGATAAAATAATAACCTTGATAGAAAATATGCAAAATATAAGCCGGTGTTAAGATGGACAATTTCTTCATTGAAATGAATCTTTTTGAGATGTTGCAATGATGAATTTTAGAAAAAGCAACTTACAGCAAGTGAAGCTATTGGATTTTTCTACGGTATGATGTTTTATTGCATCATGAAGAAACCTGAGAAATTGAGGAGATAGAACTGACTACAAAACAAAATAAAACCAAGATTAAAATGTTAAGCGGGGAAAGATCATGTCCACACGTGAAGATCCAATTAAACTGATTTTTTGCTCTCATGCCTATGCAGAAGAATCTTCTCAGCTAAAGGTTAGCTTGGAGTAAGGTAATGGATCAATGGAAATCAAGGGAGGTTAGACTTTATTCACTTGTGACTATGTAGGGATACTAGGCTGGTTCCTCTTTTGACTCTACCCCCAAATTCTGCCTACAGATTGTTATGGAATCAAGTAGCTGATTTGTTTGAGTTTGTAATTCCTGGAGGGACGCATTTAGTTTGTAGATTTTTAATGTCCTAAGATGCTCTAAATCACTATGTGTAAGTTGGACAGCCAAATACATGTGTTTGATAATAAGCTAATTGGAATCATATTTCAGAGGGAGGAGGACATCGGGAAAACAGCCCTCTGAAAAAAGTCCATGGAAATGGTTTCTTCCCAAGTCTGCAAATCTCATTGGTGTGAGAATGGGGGACTCACCGTAATATTAAGGGAGATTGAGGATCTCCCTCAATATTTTGAAGAATTTGGGCACATGGAAATCTGATGGTGGGAAGTTAAGTTTCCTATATTAGCTTATTTGATTACTGCGGTACCTGAACTAAAAGACATTAAATTAGTCAGATATCCTAACATTCTAATATGATTATTGTCAGGGTTCCGATGGATGCCCTAATTAAATCATGAGTCTCGAGCCAAGCTTCAAAAGAAATCCAGTTATTTATTAGGAGCTTCATGTTGGCATGTTCCCAAGTGAAGCCAGCTCTGACCCTACCTAATTTACGCTCCTAATTATGACCCTGTTCCCCCCCTCCCCCCAGGGTGTGTCATCAATCAAATTCGCCAACGGAGCAATTTTGCGGGTTGTAGAGGTTACTCCCCTTCGGCTGCTGTAGGTAACCCTGGGATACAGCCTTGAGAGAGATAAGCATGGAATGTGCATCTGTCTTTGGCTGCCATGCCATTTCACCGGTTTCCCATTGCCCCCTGGCCTATGGCAACTTGAAAGCAGGCCAGGGATGCTTTGCGAGTTGACAATTATATTTTCTTTTAACTGTTATCTTCATTGCCTTGAATTATTTGTCAAAATAATAAATTTTTTTAAAAAAATCTAATCAGGATGTTAAGTTTCCTAACTTGTGGCTCTACACAGATCCGAATCATTTTACACTGTGGCCTCTCATCAGATAGATTTCAGATTGCCCAGTGGTGACCCATGTTCAGCTTTCAGTGTAGTGAATATTGTATTTTTTTTTGCCTCTTGCAGGGTTTGAGAAACAAGCCAAAGAAAACTGGGCATGTAAAGCCTGATCTCATTGACGTGGATCTAGTAAGAGGTAAGACTTGATCTCCTCAACCGGAGATATAATTTTATTCCATAGATACTAGCTTCGTTTTAACATTTGTAATGTTCTCTTATTTTAGCGGGCAGGTTTTCTTCATGGGGTGAAACTCCCTATTGGGGAGGGATTTTGGTCAGGTGCAAAGGATCAGGATCATAGGTTAAGTTGCAGTTCCAAAAGAGTTACCGCTCAAGCCCATCCACGAGAATCTAGTGAACTAACGGTCAACGCTAAATTGGCACTAGATAAGAGTCAGCGGAATTCAAGGGAGTTGGACTTAGACGCTTGTGGCAACATAATGATTCTAGGCTGATGACTCACTTAACTCTGCCATCCAGTTCTGCCTGCCTACTGTAGATTTTCAGTAATCTCGAGCTGCTACCTAAATATCAGCCCAGCATAGCCCTGTTGTCCAGATTAAAACCACTTAATGCTTCTCTGCATCTTATCGCTTTTCAATTATATTGAAAAGGGATATATATATATATATATGTTTCTGTGTAACCGGTTCATTGATTTTGCTTTTCTTTAGGGTCAGCCTTTGCAAAAGCAAAACCGGAAAGTCCTTGGACCTCCCTGACGCGAAAGGGAATTGTTAGAGTTGTTTTCTTTCCTTTCTTCTTCAACTGGTGGCTACAAGTGACATCAAAAGTTATATTTTCGTGGCTGCTTTTCCTTTATCTTCTTCAAGGTACGTCTGGATGAGAACTTTTGCCTAAGAGATTAAGGTAAAAGTTCCCCTTGCATATATGTGCTAGTCGTTCCCGACTCTAGGGGCTGGTGCTCATCTCCGTTTCAAAGCCAGAGAGCCAGCGCTGTCCAAAGATGACTCCGTGGTCATGTGGCCGGCATGACTCAATGCCAAAGGTGCACGGAACGCTGTTACCTTCCCACCAAAGGTGGTCCCTATTTTTCTACTTGCATTTTTAACGTGCTTTCAAACTGCTAGGTTGGCAGAAGCTGGGACAAGTAATGGGAGCTCACCCCATTATGCAGCACTGGGGATTCGAACCGCTGAACTGCCGACCTTTCGATCAACAAGCTCAGTATTTTAGCCACTGAGCCACCCCGTCCCGTGTTTAAAAAAAAATGACACCTCGATACCTGGATTTAAAAAAATAACAGCACTATTTGGCATTTCTAGTCTTTGAAGAAACAATTGTCCGTAACATTAAAATACTGATAGTCCTCGATTTAAAACAGTTCACTTAGTCACTGAAAAAAAGTGACTTAGGACACACGTTTTTCGTACTTATGACCGTTGTGGCATTCCCATGGTCACATGATTTACATTCGAATGCTTTGACATCCGACTCGCATTTGTGACGGTTGCGGTGTTCCGGAGGCCATGCAATCCCCTTTTGCCATCGCAGCCGAAAATGGCGCTTGGGAGCCCGTTTCCGCTGGCAGAGCGCTCGGGCCGCCACAGGCGCCCAAGACACGAGTGACGGTGAGCTGGCCACACCCCCTTCCCTCCCCCAAGGTCAAACACAATCCTGATGCAGCCCTCAAATGAAATCGAGTTTGACACCCCTGGTTTACAGTATAAAAAAGAAGTTTGACAGGGTAATAATAATAATAGCCCAGACATCACAATTGTTGATGAGGTTGTAAATCGAGGACCACCTGTAATGATCTCCCTTTTATCTGGTTGAATGATGAATGGCTTCTCCATTCATATCCTCTCTTCTTCCTACAGTGGCTGCCATCATACTCTTCTTCACGATACAAAGCCCTCATAACATACCTCTGACGGAAGTCATCGGCCCGGCATGGCTCATGCTGCTCCTTGGAACGGTGCACTGCCAGATTGTCTCCACACGGACCCCCAAATCCTCCACAAACACCGGCGGGAGAAGGAGGAGGTACCTTTGTGGTGGGACTGGGCTGGGTTTGGGCAGGTCTTTGCTTTAGTTTGAATACGAATCCTAAACCCTAAAAGGTTATCGAAGGTACAGTTAGTTCTCGACTTACAATAGTTCCAAAGTTACAACAACGGCACTGAAAAAATTGACTTATGGCCACTTTTCACACTTAACAACAGTTGCAGCATCTCCACAGTTGTCAAAATTCGGACTCTTGGCAACCGACTCGTATTTATGACGGTTGCTGCGTCCCGGGGTCACTCAATCCCCTTTTGCGACATTCTGACGAGTAAAGTCAATGGGGAAGCTGGATTCACTGAACAGTGTGTTATTTAACAACTGTCGCGGTTCACTTAATGGCGGCAAGAAAGGTCGTAAAATGGGGAAGAACTGTGACAAAGGTCTCACACAGCAACAGACTTTTTGGGCTCAGTTGTGATCGTAAATTGAGGACTACCTGTATTAGTGGGATATCAATGATTGTAGGAGAGGAAGAGGCAGAGCCTGGGGTGTGGGGTCAAGCGAGGAATCAGCCTGGAATCATTACGTTCCCACAAGCAATCTAAATCCAATGCCTTGGATTTCATTGTCTCTTCTCTAGCACAAATTTAGTGCAAATTTAGCGCTAGATTCTTGTGTATAGGTGTGGCAATATATCTTAATTGGACCTTAACATTTGATCCTGATTCTTCGCGCCTGACATGATTGTTACATTATTTACAATATGTTAAATCATATATTCAAAGCAAGGCGGCTGCCCTACAGTGGCAGCATTGAAGCTTCCCGCCTAATATGGCTTCCAAGGCTGAAGCCATATTAGGCCGGAAGCAAAAAAAAAATGGCGGATACATTTTCCTGTGTCAGTTTCAATTTATTTCACGGAAAATTGTGAATCTTTGGGGAAAAATGGGGGGCGTGTGTGTCCTGGGGCCACACTAACCTGTTGTTATTTCAAATGTGTTCTGAACTTGTTTTTCTCCATGGACATTTTATTAGATGCTAAAAAATTGTACATTTTAGTCAGTAACTACATTTTATTTTTTTTATTCTTTTATTTTATAAAATTTATATACGGCCCTACTCGCGAAGGACTCAGGGCGGTGAACAGCCAAAAAATAAAACACATAAAATACAAAATTTAAGAAACAGTATAAAACCACATTAGATAATTTGGCCCGGGACAAATTAAAACACCCCCAATATTTAAGACATAATTAAAATTTACAATTTAAAAGTTAAAAAGGGAAAAGTTAGGCCAGGCCGGCCTGTTGAAATAGAAAAGTCTTGAGGGCACAGTGGAAGGTGTATAGATCCGGGATCCTCCGTATCTCCGGGGGGAGCTCATTCCAGATAGCAGGTGCCCCCACAGAGAAGGCTCTCCCCCTGGGGGCCGCCAGTCGACACTGTTTGGCCGACGGCACCCGGAGGAGCCCCTCTCTATGAGAGCGTACGGGCCAGTGAGAGGCTGCTGGTGGCAGCAGGCGGTCCCATAAATATCTAGGTCCTAAGCCATGGAGCGCTCTAAAGGTGGTAACCAAAACCTTGAAGCGAACCCGGAAGACCACCCGGAGCCAGTGCAGCTCGCGCAGGAGAGGTGTTACACGGGAACGCAATGTCGCTCCCATAACCACCCGCGCGGCCGCACTCTGCACCAGTTGGAGCCTCCGGGTGTTCCTCAAGGGGAGCCCCATGTATGTAATTTCCAATAATGGAAATAAGATGCCCTCATCTTAAATATGATTTCCATCGGAATTAAAATAATCTGCCAGAGGTTTAAAAAGCCTTTATGAATTTACTTTGGTCTGCCCTCCTGAACTTTTTATTTCTATTATTTTATTTTACTATTTTATTTCTATTAAAAGGGAAGATATTCTTATCATTTGAAAAGTGTAGGAAAAAGGAGAGGCAGAGCCTGGGGAAGGAGTCAAGAAAGGAATCAGCCTGGAATCTCTACATTGCCACAAACGGTCTTAAGTCCAACCCCTTTTGAATTCTGTTAACTCCGTTAACTTTAGTGCTGACTGTTAGTTTCTTTTATAAAGGCCTGAACAATAAATCAGCTTAACGGGAATTTAACACATGGTACTGATCGTTCGTGCCGGACAAAAAGGCGGTCATAAAAATGGGATTTTTCTTGTTTAACCAAGCCATTGTTTGGCTGTAAACATACCAATGAGTAAACTGTCCATCTTGTGCTGCTAGCGAATTACCTGTTCTGACCTAGGCTTCCCCAGAAGCACGAAGCCGAGTCCTTGTCCCAATAAACCCCCTTTTATTTAATTTACAGTAAATTCCTCTCCAGCAAAATCTTTCCTCTCCCACATTCTTTCAAGATAGTTCACAATTACCGAACTTTATCAGGCTTGGAGAGTGGCCAGGCCGAGATCTTTCAGACGCTCGCAATACTTGGCAAGAATGCAGGAATGAACTAATTGTCTCCTGCAAACTCCACTCTCCTTTCGCTCCTCTTTTATTCCCTCTGGGAGGGGCCCTTCATCGTCCACCTGTGGCCTTACTCCCTAGTCGACCCTTGTTCTTTAGCTGTTCTTTTCGTCTGGCAACTCTGCGCGTGCGCTCATTGGGAACAGGCTCCAGCTGTTCGTCTGCCTCCCTGATGTCTGACTCCGAAGGCAGCTGATAACTGTCCGACGGCCCTGGCCCCCTCTCTGCCTCCAACGCAGAGCCCTCGTCCGAGCCTTCTCCCGACTCCAGGCCTGGCCCATGTTCCTCCCCAAACTCCTCACTGTCCGAATCTGCTGCCAGATCCACTGGCGGGCCACCACATTACCTTTACAAAATGCCTCTGTTTTCAATTTCAAGGAAATTAAGGAAAGCGGCCCACTTGGAAGTACATCGCGAAGGGGATGGCTCTAGCACGACCGATAACACCCAGGAAGGAACCGTCCAGAGTTATGGCACCAGCACCTCTTCTAGCCTTGGCGCTGTCTTCAAGGAACTCTGGCACGCTACTTTCTTTTTATCAGGGTGGGTATCTTTTAGTCAAGCCTTGGTTTGCCTTAAATGATGGGCTGTTCCTTTTCTCTAACATCATCCTATCGAAGTTCGTTTGGGCCCCCGTGACTTTGATTTCCACATGTCACTGAAAACCGGTAGGAGAAAATGGAGGCCACAGATTCTCGAAGTCCATGAAAAAAAAATTAGATTCCGTTCTAAATCCGCTAATTAGTTTTCAGCTGAGTTTCTTATTTTGACGCTGGTGCGTTTGCTGCTAAATTAGGGTCAGGCCCTTCTACTTTTTCGGTCTCCGTTAATTCCTGCAAGGAATAAAGACAGTTTGATCTAGTGGTTAAGGCATCAGGCTAGGAAGCAGGAGGCTGTGAGTTCAAGTCCCGCCTTAGTCTTTAAAGCCTGCTGTGTAATTTTGCCCCCATCACCAGGAGACGGTGAATTCTAGTCCCGCCTTACTTATGAAAGCCAGCTGGGTGACTTTGGGCCCATCACCAGGAGACGGTGAATTCTAGTCCCGCCTTACTCATGAAAGTCTGCTGGGTGACTTTGGGCCCATCGCCAGGAGACGGTGAATTCTAGTCCCGCCTTACTCATGAAAGCCCCCTGGGTGACTTTCGGCCCATCACCAGGAGAAGGTGAATTCTAGTTCCGCCTTACTCATGAAAGCCAGCTGGGTGACTTTGGGCCCATCGCCAGGAGACGGTGAGTTCTAGTCCCGCCTTACTCATGAAAGCCAGCTGGGTGACTTTGAGCTAGTCACTCCCTCTCAGCCCAACCTACCTCACAGGATTGTTGTTGGGAAAATAGGAGGAGGATATGTTGGATATGTTTGCCACCTTGAGTTGTTCGTAAAAATAATAAAGAGAGGATACAAATAAATAAATAAAATAGGATTCGCCTTCGTTTTGCTTTTCCTTCTTAAGTTACTTATTGTTGTGACCTAGGCTTACAAGGCCGATACACCTGCCTTCTTATTTTCCTCCCCAAAAACTAAGGTGCATCTTATATTACGGTGCATCTTATACTCCAAAAAATATGGTATATAGGTCTTAGCTCAGTGGTGATTTAGTGAGATTAAAGATTTCCTGTGTGTACGTAGGCAAATTTAGGCATGAAGTAAATTATTGCCTCCAATTACATTAATGGCAACTAGGTTTATATATCCTACATCAATAATTAATTTCTAATAGTTTAATAGTATAAATAGTATAAATCAACATATATTATGATATATTATTTAATATAAATAAATTGTTATTAATAATAAATATATGATCAGCTTATATCCTAAGAATTCTATTTCTGCCTTTTTTTCCTTCTCTTTGCATGAAAGCAGTTTGGGAAATGGGATCAGGAAAAAGTCTTTACCCAAACAATAACTACTTCATGTATTTTGGTTTGCCTCTAGAGCCAAAAAAGCAAAGAACTCCATAGACAAATCCACCGAAACGGACAACGGGTATGTTTCCCTTGATGGGAAAAGGACAGGGAGAAACAACGAAGATGCTTTACAATCCCACGAACCCCTTTCTGAGGTCATCCGGTCAGAAGAACCCGGCTGGAATATCGGAACTGCCCGAAGTACATGCAACACTTCGAATCATAAAGTGAGTCCTTTATTTAGGGGACTGGAGGCTAAAACATATGAAGAACAGTTGTTGGAATTGGGTATGTCTAGTTTAATGAAAAGTAGGCGTTAGGGTATGTAGATTTAATAGCTGTAAGCTGAAGAGAGGTTGTAAGCGGAGGCAACTGGAAGCTGATGCAATATTTGCTACGATTAAGAATGGACAGGTATGTGCACAAGGTGTTAAAACGGATGGTCTGTATGTTCTGTGAATGCAAGAACATAAGTGTGTACATATACTTAAAAATGTGTCTACACCAGTGGTAGGTTGCTCCCGGTTCTGTCCGGTTTTTTTAGAACCGGTAGTAAAAGCGGTGGGAGGCTCCGCCCATGCCAGGAGTGTCCGGGTATGTAAGCCAGGAGTGAAATCTAAAATTTGTTACTACTGGTTCTGTGGGCGTGGCTTGGGGGGGGGAATGTGACTGGGTGGGCATGGCCAACTTTTTTTTTTTTACTTTTAAAAGCAAGACGTTGCCGAAAAAAATGCTTTTAGAAGCCTCTGACGATCAGGCAACTCAGCTGGGATCATCAGAGGCTTTTAAAGGCATTTTTTTTTCTACAGCCTCTTCGGCCGAAGAGGTTGTAGAAAAAATGCTTTTAAAAGCCTCTGATGATCCCAGCTGAGCCGCGCGATCATCAGAGGCTGTTTTTTTAACTTTTAAAAGCATTTTTTCAGCTGAAGAGGTTGTAGAAAAAAATGCTTTTAAAAGTAAAAAATAACAGCCTCTGATGATCGCGTGGCTTAGCTGGGCATGGGGGCGGGGCTCAGGGATTTTTGCTACTGGTTCTCCGAACCACCCACCGCCATCGCTTACCGGATCAGGCGATCCGGTCTGAACCGGGAGCATTTCACCCCTGCTGTAAGCTGATGAGAGGTTGTAAGGGGAGGCAATCAGAAGCTGATGCAATGGGAATGACTAGGGGTGAAATGAAAGCAGCCCAATTCTCTCTAGAATTGTATATTAAAAGTGTATGAATTGTTTGAGATTAAAAAAATGTGCCTTTTATTGATCGTAACTTCTTCTTCGGTTTAGGACAGTCACCGAACAATGACAAATATATCGGATGAAGTTTCTAGTGAGGAGGGGCCGGAAACCGGCTACCCTTTACGACGGAATGCCGAACGCGCTTCCAGCGATTGTGCGTTTCGAAACAAGAAATCTCACCATTATAAGAAACATTACCCCATAGAGGTAACAACACTTTTCATGAGTAAAACTTTTAGTGACATCAAATTCATGGGTACTTTTGGGGCGTGTAAGAGCCGTAGTGGCGCAGTGGTTGGAATGCAGCATTGCAAGCTAAGTCTGCCCGTTGCCAGGAGTTCGATCCTGACTTCTATCTATCTATCTATCTATCTATCTATCTATCTATCTATCTATCTTTCTATCTATTTACCTACCTACCTACCTATCTATCTGTATCCATCCATCCATCCATGGTATCTAACTTCCTACCTACCTACCTACCTACCTACCTACCTACCTACCTACCTACCTAACCATCTACCCTTAGTAAGAGCTTTGGTGGCACAGCAGACTAAAATGCTGTTAAGTAGCACCAGCTGCAGGTTCAAATCTCACCAGGCTCAAGGTTGACTCAGCCTTCCATCCTTCCGAGGTAGGTAAAATGAGGACCCGGATTGTGGGGGCAATAAGCTGACTTTGTATAAAAAAGAACACCGCTTTGGTGGGGGGGAGGCGAAAGCCCTACTAAGCAGGTATATACAAAAGTATGAAGGCTATTGCTTAACGCATTGTAAGCCGCCCTGAGTCTCCGGAGAAGGGCGGCATATAAATCGAACCAATAAATAAATAATAAATAAATACCCTGGTAGCGCAGTGGTTAGAATGCAGTATTGCAGGTTAACTCCGCTGACTGCCAGGAGTTCGATCTTGACTCAGCTTTCCATCCTTCCGAGGTGGGTAAAATGAGGACCCAGATTGTTGAGGACAACAATATGCTGACCCTGTAAACTCTTCAGAGAGGGCTGTTAAAAGCACTATGAAGTGGTATATAAGTCTTAAGTGCTATTGCTATTTGCCCAGCCTAGAAGGGAGGAGGGATCAAGTGTAGAACTAGCCTGGAATCACTGCTCAACTGCAAAAGGGTTAGGGGCTGACTTTCCCTAAGTTCCTTGGAACTTTATTTAAGAGCCTTGGTACTACAGTGGTTTAAAGCACCCTGTTATTAACACAGCTGCCTGCAATTTACTGCTGGTTCGAATCTCTCCAAGGCTCAAGGTTGACTCAGCCTTCCATCCTTTCTAAGGTAGGTTAAACGAGGACCCAGTTTGTGGGGGCAATAAGCTGACTTTGTATAAATATACAAAAGGATGAAGGCTATTGCTTAGTGCATTGTAAGCCGCCCTGAGTCTCCGGAGAAGGGCGGCATATAAATCAAATGAAAAAAAAAAAAAATTGTTCCCAGGTGTGGGCCGCCAAATCGAGACGATTCCTGTATTATAGGCTGAACGTAATGAAGTACTTAGCACGAACAGTGCATGAATAGGTCCGGTTGTTCGTGCAGTAACTTCAGAGGTGGTATTCTGCCAGTTTGGGCAAACAGGTAGCGGAAATCGCAGGTGCCCCCCCCGCTCCCCCGCCCCAGCTCTATTCCGTCCTATTTAGGCACGTTTTTGAGACTGTTTGCGCCCGCAAGCAAACTGCATGTGTGGAAGACAGGCGCGGGCGCGTGGCGAACTGGTAGTAACAAAATGTTAAAACCCACCGCTGAATAACCTCCTATGGCTCTTCCTGTATTCTTCAGGACGTCCCCAAATCGGGCACCAGCTGCAGCTCGAGGTGCTCAAGTTCCAGGCAAGATTCCGAAAGCACCAGGCCAGAATCGGAGACGGAAGACGTCCTGTGGGAGGATTTTTTGCACTGTGCCGAATGTCGTTCATCCTGTACCAGCGAGACCGATGCCGAGAATTCTCAGGTCAACTCTTGTATGAAGAAGGAATACAGAGACGACCCCTTTCATCCGGTGAGTAGAAGAATAACTGACAGAACTGAATAACTCTTTGTTATTCAGGGACCTTGGAGGTCTTCTAGTCCAACCCCCTGCTTAGCCAGGAAACCCTATATACCATTTCAGACAAACGGTTATCCAGTCTCTCTCTCTCTCTCTTTTTTTTTAAAAAAAGATATTATTTATTGTTTTATCGTAAAAAATCAAATACAAAAGAGAGGAACAAACCAAACCAAACCGTAAATTCAATCCTAACAACAGCAAAAAAAGAAGAAGAAGAAAATAGTACAAACATAAAAAAAGAAGAAAAAAGTGATTAAATAAATTTAACATTTAGCATGTAGGATCCACCCTGGTTGGGTGCTGAAAAAGCAGTAAATTCTCCTCCGCTTTTATCTATCTATCTATCCTGTTTCTCCCCCAAATAAGACATCCCCTGATAATAAGCCCAATCGGGCTTTTGAGTGCATGGCAATAAGGCCAAGCGCTTATTTCAGGGTTCAAAAAAATAGAAGACAGGGTCTTATTTTTGGGGAAACACGGTACCTATCTATCCTATCTATCTATCTATCTATCTATCTATCTATCTATCTATCTATCTATCTATCTATCTATCTATCTATCTATCT